CAGTTCTAGAGAAAAGACGTTGCAGTTGCACCTACTGAATTAAAGTTTAAAATGATGATAGATGAATGCAATTGCAGGCAACTATTAAATTTATGAAAAATAATGTTTCTGTACACCATGTAATATACAAACAACCTCACAAAAACAAACTCGATTTCATTATATATTTCAACTGATTTTTATACTCTGTCGGCTTAAATTATTTCCATAAAACTAAAATTGACAAATAAAGAAATAATAATGACAGGTATATAAATACTAATTCACCAGACTCCCTGGGGACATTAAAAATGACATAATCCTTCATTATCAAATGAATTATACAGTAATTAAAAAACTGACTGCTATTACACCATTGATTCTAATCATGGTAGTCAAATCCTTAAGGTAAGGGTTCATTGAATAAAAATTGAAGTAGTAGTCTTTGTGAAAACTATGTCTATAAGATTGAAATAAGACTTTTTTTGAAATATGTGTTTCAAATGGATTAAGCAAAGTATGCTTCACTTCTCAATTCTAGGAGTGTTACATTTGTTGATATCGAATATATTAGATCACTTATTAATTATGCATGTTTTGTGGAAACTATACTTACCAAATTGAATCAGTAAAAGATGCTATTTTCTTGGTTTTAACTTTTAAGGCATCCTTTTTTATGATATTGAAATATATTAGATCTCTTATGTATGTTATTGCATTTTGATTAATAATATTCACTTGATTTTTGCATTATTAGAGATTCAGTGTACGAAAACAAGTTCACCTTTTAATTAAGATCACTATGAGTTGATTAGATATGACTATCCATTATTAAATCTAAGAACATAATATCTATTATTATATTTTTTTGCCAAAGTAACATATATTCATACAAAAGGTTATAAAAAACATACTATTCTCTAAATGGTTCATTAATTTATGAATAATTTAAAATTCACTTTCTTTACAATAAATTCAGGACCAAAGATGTAGAAAGTGAAATTAATTATATGTACATACTTTTGATAAATATCTTAATTTCTAAGATGGGAAAAAACTAAATTCATAAAACTACAATAAAATGTATATTAACAACTAACCATATATTTAAATTATTGTATTAAACTAATTTAAATAAATAATATTATAAAAATCTGGAGCTATAATAAAATAATCATTCTTTACATAGAAAACTCACTAAGTAATGCATCAAAAAATTACATATCACCATATCTTTCGTTTTTAAATAATTTGAGCACAATATATATTTTCATGGTCTCGGTTTTCTTTGTCAGCTTTCATAATAAATGAAATTAAACTATATTTTTTTCTCTAATTAAACTATTTTTTTAAAAAAAAAAAAATATGAAGACGACAACTGAAGCTATAAAAACTTGAATCAGTAACTTTGGACTATGAAAAACAAATTAAACAACATAAGACATTAAAAATCTTCTTAAAGTATACGCGACAATTCAACTTTCTAGATCCCCAACAACATAATACTAATATTAACACTAATACGTAAAAAAATAACTCAAACAAACAAGAAGTCAACGCCATAATATCCAACAATAAAAATATTAAAACATTGAGTTACTTCTTTTAGTTTGTGTTTGAAAAAAATTTTCATAAAGTATTTGTATGCAGTCTGATTCATCTTAATTTCAAGATTATTAATAGTTACGCTACATTTAATTGATTATTTGAAGTAGATTATTTGATATGATGTAGTATAAACTCAATTAAACTTCAGTTAAAATGTAATACTTCATTAATTTATGAAACAATTAATCTATAAAAAAAATTTCAAATAACATGATCAAAATTTGCAACAGATAATTTGTTATAAAAAAGTTCAACAAATGCTAAGATAATCTATAAAAGATATTTAATAAAACACGAAAATAAATAAAATTTCATTATGAATTGAAACTCTACTATAAGCCAAAATAAACGTACATTATAAAATATCATTTATTTTTAAATAAAATATATTAATGATTTTCTATGACATTATTGTAACTATTTATATATTACTTTAAAATGTAAACTTTTTAAATTTTATCACATTACATTATATTTTTATTGATTTAGCTTAGAGATAGTTTACAATATAAAGTAATTTATTTTAGACTCACCCGCCCGTAGGGCGGGCCACCCCCTAGTAAACTAATAAAGTCAACAAAAGTTCATGTTTCTTTTGGATAGGCTCGAGTACATGTTTCTTTTGGCAATTCGTGCAAAGTTGGTGTTTTTTTTTGCCGAATTCTCCTTATATTATTAGTAAGTTCACCTGAATGCGTGATCCACTCACCCCTATTAATGGTATAACTAAGGTTTGATCCATGTATCCGTACGGATATATTTTTTATTTTATAAATAAATAACTAAAGTTTTTAAATATATGATTTATATTTTATTTTTAATTAAATTTAATTTATAATTATATTTAATAACGAAATAAATAAATATTTATTTTATATAAAATAAATTTAATTTATTTGGTAAGATATTGTTAAATTTTTTTCTACAGATTTTTTTATATTTAAATTGATTTATTACTAATATCATTTTAATTATTAAGATATTTTGGGAATAGTATATATTTGATTGGTTAAGTAACAATCAAATATGTCATATTAAATAATTAATCACATGGTCCAACATGACTTCTAGATAGTAGATAAATTTGGTATTTTTCTTTTAATAGAGAAGACTAAAACTACATTCCCATACAAAGATTATTAATTATTATCTTTGCATAAAATTGTTCAAAATTATATCAATCACTTTAAAGTATACAAGAAAATATTATCATCTAAATAAACTACTATGCCATTATTATTTTACTAAAATATAGCTTATCTCATCTTAAATCAAATTATGTTTATGTAAATCATTTAAAACATATATAGTAAAACCTCTATAAATTAATAATATTAAAAATTTGAAATTTTATGAATCTATAGAGATACAAATTTACAAAAGTGTTCTTATTTAAGTTATATTTATTTTCTAAGATAATAAAATATTTGATTTTAATGTATAAATATTAATTATTATTAAAAGAATTATATTAATGTTATTATATTTTTTGGTGTATATAATACATATTGCATATAATTTAAATGTGTTTTTAGATATAATACTACTAAATCTCATCAAAAATATATTAAATGTTAAGAAAGTATAAAGATAATTCCATTGTAAATATGAAACAAATAATATAATGATAGGTACTTACTTATGTAAAATATGTATACATATAAACTATTAATTTATAATTTTAGTGGAACCATATATTTACATAGAATTTTCTAAAAGTTATTATTTTATTATTTTACCAATTTGTGTCAAATTTTGAACAAGCCTAAGCAGTACCGGTCCTGAGTTTTTAGAGGCTCCATATAAGATCAAAAATAATAATTTATAATCACTAAAATATACTTCCTCCTTTTCAATTTAGTTGTCCTTCTAAAATTTTACACACAAATTAAGAAAACAATTAGTTTTATATATTTTCGAAATAAAAATACAATTACCTCTACACCTAACCACTTTTTAACCAATGAAAAAATAGAATGACACTTAAAGTAAATAAATTTGCATTGTAATTATAAAACGACACTTATTGTGAAACAAAATTTTTACTCTAGAATGGCATGTAATCTGAAACAGAAGGAGTATTAAATAATTAATTTTATTTATCATATTAGTTACATATCTTATAAAAACAAACAACTAATTGAAATAATTTCTACAAGATATTTACATGTTACATATTTTAATTAGTTTTTTTTTGTATAAACTTTTTATTTGTTTAATGTATTTTGTTCTTTATTTTAAAATAAATATGCAAAAAGAAATATTATGTAATTTTTAAAAAATATTGTGGGCCCCACAAAAACGTGGACTCCAATCAAATGTATCATAGGTATGCGCTCAGACGCCCAGTACTAAGCCTAAGTTGGGACTAGCGTAATTTATTCATTTATAGAGATTATTAATTTATCCAATATTAAGTTATAGGATTTCTACTATAATTATACATAACAAACACCCGTGCGGGTCAGTGGCTAGTATAGAGTTAAGATAACAAATTAGTAAACATTTATTGAATTTGATAAAAAAATATTTTAAATAATGAGATTATTTCCATATAAATTACAAAATAATTATTTAAACAAGTTTATATATTCCTAGATTTTATACCTAAATCTCATTTTTTAAAAATTTCAATTTCATACCTTAAATTAGGTGAGCTGAATTCCTTTGCACACAAACTCTTCTCCAACCACCCAGAACATCAAACGAAAGTAACCCACCAAGAATTGTATGCTTAAATGACTCTATCAACCATAAAAAATTTGAAATAAAAACTTAGGTTTTTTTTCTATGAAAATGGAGCAAAGTGAAGGAGATGTTGTTTTTAGTTCATAACAATTGAGAAAGAAAATATTGCATTAAAAGAAAATATGGTTTCCGATTTTAGTTGTACAAGGTTGTTGGGTTGTTGGGTTGTACAAGGTTGTTGGGTGTATTCATGGCAATGTTAATGTTGCAAATACTTGGAGATGATGAGGTTAAGAGAGTAAAGAAGCCATTTTCGAAAAAAAATTACAAAAAAATTTCAATGGCATTTTCGTAGATAAAATGAAGATGTGGGGTGAATAGGACAAAAGAAAGATGAGTCAAAAGAAGAAGTTAGTTTTGTGTTTGACTTTGAATTGTGAGTCAATTTTGCAAAAATCTATTTTTTTGTAACATTCATTGAGATATACACAAAATAAATAATTAAGATTTTATACCTAAAATTACATATAGAGTTAAGATAACAAATTAGTAAACATTTATTAAATTTAATAAAAAATATTTTAAATAATGAGATTATTTCCATATAAATTATAAAATAATTATTTAAACAAGTTTATATATATATATATATACATGAACTATACACAAAACATTATCACCTTTTATATACCCGAAGAAAAGAAAATCTTCCAACGTTCGATTTCATGGATTCTCCTACGAGCCCCGCCCAATTTCCCAGCTCGGTCCACGCCGATTCGATTGTCTCATCGTTGCTTTCGTTTCCAGATTCCTCTCCGATCTCCAACGCCTTCTCCTTCGATGGAGAGCTCGAAAAAGCTCTTGCATCTGCTTCCGATGATGTCTTTGTTCAGGACTCTCTCCTAAACCGAACTACTCAACTCGCATCTCTTCTTATAGACTCCACTAAGCGATGCTTCCTCAAGAGAGCTTCTGCTCACAATTCCAACTCCTGGTTTCTCCCTACCGAACTCACCATCAAGGTGATCAAATCGTGATTTTTTGGAGATTGAGTTTGAGGATATGATATCTGAATTGGTTTTTGGATTCTTTAGATCTTTTCGAAGCTTGATACAAAGTCTCAAATGCAAGCGGCTGCATGCTGCACCATGTTCAACAAATGTGCAATGGATCGTTTATCTTACGCCCACATCGATTTGACTACAGCTACTAAACAAGCTGATAATGCAGAAGTTGTGTGTACTATGATCCAACGTGCTGGAAAAGAACTAAGGTGACACTTTTTATGTATTCAAATAACCAACCTCGTAACTTCTAATATTTAATATGTTTATAACTGTCAGGGCCTGCAATAATGTTTATATAACTGTGAGGCCGACACTGAAGCCTTGAGATTTAGGAGATCATAGACAATTTATTAAAGATTTCAACAATATTTTTATTATTACAAATTTGGGAGACTAAAGTTTTTGGTTTGAAGGTCTATGACTATGTAATTTTCTTCAAAAGTTTTGAAGGCCCAAGATCAATGTTTCTTTTGGCTTTACCCAGAACCGGCCCTAATAACTGTATAAACATAGACCAACCGTAGGTTATATACTAGAAGTTACAAAGTTGGTTGCTTGAAGACACAAAATATATTCTATGTTACAGATGGGATCATTTTTTGGCTTTCGTGATTTGAACTTTTGTCTATGTTTATGCTTGTAGATCCCTCAAGCTTGGCCGTATTGCTTGCACAGATGTACCTGATTCTTCTCGACAAATGGTTAACGCTTCTTTGATTTGGCAGCTATCCGATAATCATCTTTTTCTTGGGTATGAATCATATCATTTAATTAAAATTTCATCATCAAAATACTTGCAACCAAGAATCAAACATGAGATTTACAATCAAGTGAAAAATCATCTAATTTGGTATCACTCTTTTCCATTCAACTAGGCGTGCTTTAAGAAGCCTACGGATTTACAATAGCCAAGTGGTGAACGACAGCTCCATAATCCAGGTGTTGTCAGTTTGCTCGAATCTCACTGATCTGAGGATCGTTGGATGGTAAGTTCTCTTATGTATTTTTAGTTTACAGTGGATCAGAATTTAGAAGAGGTATCGTTTTATTCTTTGTGTAACATTCCCTCACTTTTGCATTATTCCGTGTGCAACAGGTATAGTTCATCTATGCATATATATGAGACTCTGACACAAAAATGTCATCTGCTAGAGCATTTGTGCTTTATTAACCGTTACCACCGCTATAGTAAAGTTTCTCCACTAATCCGCTTATGGAGCATATTGTTTTGTTTAACTCCCAGGTTTTCTCAAGCGTACATAATGTGTAACAGGTCCTGTAGACATTGAAACAGGTTCACACTTGATAGAGTTTGTGACTAACTCCCCCAACTTAGCTTCTCTAACGCTCATATGGTTACAACTAACCGAAGAAGTGGCTCGGACTCTTGCTGAGGTATGGCTCTGCTATTTCTTCTCTCTTTATTGGCTAACATCCATGCTTTTACAGAATTATGATGTTGTCTGCAGAGTTCTCGTACACTGAAGTACCTGAATTTGTCTAGATCTTCAATCAGTGGTCGTTTTTTGAGGTGCAAAAGAAAAATATATATATATAGTGCAGTGTCCTTATTGTTAAATTTTTTTTTTTTTTTTACATATCATGAAAATATTGTTGGTAGGGATTTGGGAAATAGCTGCAAAGAGAGTTCACTTGAGACGCTAATAATGCGCAACTGCTATAAACTAGAGGAGGTAAAATATTCTACGGCATAACAAGTGTATTTTGAGCAATTTCGCAAGATTTGTAACAAGTTTTGAGTTGTTTCATCAGTCTTGCTTGATCGATCCTTACATTGATGTTTCAGAAAGAAGTGTTGGAACTCTGTAACTCATTAATCAAAGGAAAGTGCAAATCCATTCGGCACATTGTAAGTTTTTAAAATATAATTTATGCCAAATTTTGTGGATAAAAATATTAGCTTTGTTTATTCTTAATATTCGTCTTCTTGGTTTATTCTAATAGGATGTTTCAAGCAACTATGGCTTAGTTTCTGATGATGGCGTGAGATCTCACAAACCAAAGTAACTGATTGACCCTTCTTGTTAACATCTTACCAATTGCTCGATTCATGTTTGTACCAACTGCTCACTGAGTTAATTAATGTTGTAGGCTTCCTTTTGAGAAGCTGAAAGAAGAAAGACCAGATGTGACATTTGTGGCGGATTTTCCATTAGAAAGGTCTTCTCCATCGATTACTATCATTAGGCTATCAAAATGAAACAGAGAAGAAAAATGAGGGGTTTGTATCTTGTAAAATGCAGGTCAGGGAAGCGTTATCATGTATGGGGCGGAGGAGATGACGAAGAGCTGAGGGAGATAGAGGTGGTGGGATTATGATGAGACTCATTTGAGGATGATGAGGATGTTTAGCTTTGTTGATTGGAGGAGTTGTTAATCAGGAGTTTTTTACTCTGTAAAACAGTTTTTAAGTTTTTATTATACAAAAGAGCCGTCCGTTTGTTTTTTTTTTGTGGTTAAAGACATGGTTGATTCTAGAAAAACCATATATCCTTTTTTGTCATTCTTAGAGCATGTCCATCAAAGAGAACCCCTAATGGAGCTTTATAATTAAATTAATGGTTAATAAAATGATTGGATTAGTTAAGAACTTTTGTTATGGCAAATTAATTTTTCCTCCTCCAATAAGAGGATCTCTATGGGGTTCTAAAAATATTTTTTTTTAATGAGATTGATTTAAAATAAAAAAACATACATAAAATTTCAATAAAAATGACATGAAAAAACATATTAAAAATACAAATACAACACGTAAACCAAAAAAACCCGATTAGTTGAAATCTTAAGATGTTCAGAAATTGACATAAAAACATATTATATATCTCGTTAGATTTTCATAATCCGTGCCTTTAACTAAACGTAACAACAAAATTTTCTTTTTTTTTTCTTTTGTATTAAATTTTAAAAAATTTGAAGTCCAGAAAAATGTAGAAAGTAGTGATTTTTTGTTTGTTTGTTTTTTTGAATTTTTTTTTGTTAGCTTTCACATCTATAATGGTTTATCTTCATCTCAGCAAGATTCACTCTTGTTGTCTTCCATTTAACTGTAAACTTTTTTCTTGGCCAACAAGACGGAACATTCTGACTCCGTCGCCGCGAGTTCAATATATTCAGCCACAAACTCAGTTCAAAATCATCTATATGGTAATTTGAGTTTGAAATCCGATGTTAGATTAAAGCTCTATTATGTTTGAGTGGTAATAATAAAAAAACGAGATTGAATCAAAGCAAATCGTCCAAAATGGTGATTTATGTCTGAAAGCAAAAAGGCTGCAAGCTATGTAGAAAATAAAGTGTCAATGAAGAAGAAGATATACAAAATTACAATAATACCCTTCTGTGAGTGTACATGTTTACATTAAAAATTGTGGCGTAGATGACCAACAAAATTTGCAAAGGTGTAACATAATTATCAACCATGTATACATAATTTTCATTGTCCACGTGTACATATATTCCCAAAAGCTTACATGTTTAATTCACTTGTGAACCAAATAAGTTCAGTTTCAAAAATGCACAAATGCATACTTACACTATGAGGCATGTACACTATGATGTAAATGTGCATATGGACACTATGAGGCAAATGTGCATATTGACATGTACACTATGATAAAAGAAAAAGAGAACAATGTTGATAATTTTAATAATTTAAATCATGAATGTACAAAGGAAATGAAACCTGTAAAATAACACAAACATACTGCTCAGGTTTTACAGAATGTACAAAAGAAATAAAACTATAATTTTAAAAGTCATTTGCTGTGTACACTATACCATGTAGCAAATATTTCATTATCCATATGTACAATGATTCATATATACACTACTTAACTTGTACAATAATGTACGTATATCACATAATTTCACTACTCTTATGTACATAAACATTAAACATGCAGGCCTTCCAACCTAAAGCAGTACCTCCTGGTTTTTTTATTTGTTTTCTTCATTATCGTTGTACATAGTGAGATAAGATGACCTTCATTATCAATGTCCACATGTACAATATTTTTATTTTTATTTTTTAAATTACATGTACGCTGGTTCTTTTGTGAGCTACACAAGTTATGATATCTGATGATTTTGAGTATCTTGTTATAGTTCATTTTGATCATATTAGGTTTCGTTTAAGTGTATATATTGCATTTTTTTTTGTTTATTTGCATATCACATTGGATAAGAATGAAAATTTAGAAGTTTAGGGTCAAAATTTAGAGCAATATGTGTGTTTAAAGAGTTTGAGATCAAAATCGAAATGATGAAAAACTAAGGATCAGAGTTACAAAAAAAGCTAAAATTATCCATGGTTGTTCTCAAGCTTTCGTGATAGTTGAAGATGCGTCGGAAATGAACAAATGTCACAAGGAAGATAGATCCCGACGAATAAGGAGGAGCTGAAACACAGATTTGGTGGAGGAATCCTAATCTCTTGGCGGTGTCCCATGTGAAGGCACGGTGGTGGTCCTGGTTGATGAATTTCTTGATTTTCATAGTCTTGTACATGGTGGATGATGGGTCTTCTGCATCGTATTTGCTGTCATCTACATACACCTCCACCGTCGTCTATGTCTCCATCGTCACTACGTCAAAGTCGATCACGTTTCTGCCATTGATGTCATTATCATATATGTCCTTGTTACACCATCATCGGAGATGTGTCTTGACATATGTTAAAAGATAGATTAAGTAACAGAGATAATAATTATATGCAAGTTCTTTTGAAAAAAACAATCTGAAGAATTAGATTCTAATTTAAAAAAAAACGCTTAGAAGGAAGAAGACGAAGAAAAAAAGAGAAGGGTACAAAATAATATAAAACTAATATTTTATTGTTTAGTTGAATTTTAGTTAGATTTTTAATTATTTTATGAACTAGAAGAAGTGAAACGTGTATTGGGAGAAGATAAAATCTCTGAGTAGCATAAAATGCCTTATAATCAATATATACAATACTAAAAGGGTAATATAAGCCTTAGATAGGCTGTCCACGTGGACAAAAATAATCAACCAGTGAGAACTTTTTATTTTGCCACATCGGCATTTTTGGGTCCCACATTCGTTAATTTTAAATTGTGTGCCATTTTGTTTTGACCCGCGTGCCGTTTATATTTTTATTTTACATAAGGTGCTGTTTTTTGTAATCGACATGTACATATACTCTGATCTCTTCCTCTTCCCCAAC